CACAACATTCGGTGATCGCAGACAATGTAGTAAAAGGACCAAATAGAACATTATCGTAATAGTGTGTCACTTTTATTTTCAAGAGAAATAAAAGTGACACGCTATTACGATAATGTTCTATTTGGTCGTTTTACTACATTGTCTGCGATGACGCACAAATTTCACCGAATTGCTAAAAAAACAGAATTTAGGAATTCTCGTTCCAAACAATTCGAAACATTGCATCTGATGCACCAACCAAGTATTATGTACTCGCGAATAAGAAGAAAGAGAGCATGATTTGCTAAATGTATGACTGCGAAATTTATTGTTTAATTTTATGTACTAATGTGGGTTTTTTGTAATTTTACTGAAGATGGCCAGATATTGACTGAAACGTCCAAAATTAACCTAAATCTTTGTAATATATTAAATATCATCTGTATCAAAAACAATCTGTGTTGTGGTTATATGCTTCTTTGCTATGTGAAAATTTTATTACTAAAACCCACTTTTTTATTATTTATATTCATATAATTCTATTTATAAAAGTGGAGATGATCTTTATATTCTTTTGGCGCCTCCGTCTAGAAAAAAAAACATGATCAAAATACGTTCCCTTCAAAATCATTCCGTTTATTTTTAAAAAATTTTGTTGTCAAAAATAAACGAATTGTTCAAAATATTCGATTTAAGTGGATTGTCCTATATAAAAATTTGCAATGTATAATAATGTTTATAATGAATGAATTTTTTGTTTAAAAAAAATTATTATATTAATATAAATAATTTTTATCAGAAAGTATATAACTTTTGCGCTCAAGGTAATATGTAAGATTTCTTCCTCATTTTAATAAAATTAATCTTTGTTTTAAGTTGTACATTAGAATTTTTAAATTAATTAATAATTTTTTTTGAAAAAATACGAAATACACATAATATTATTGAATAAAAATATGTTTAATAAATATTAATAAGAATATAATGTAATTTATTCATAATGTCGATATATTCCATAAATTTTTACTACAATATTTTCCTATGAGACATGTGAAATATCTCGTTGCGTAATACATAGTTCATAGGTTGATTTATTCATAACTGTAGATATTTCTGCGGTACCGGTTGTAATTGCAAATCGATATTGTTTTGGAAGAAAATAGTACAAAAGTATATTGAATATTATCTCGATCTGTACAAACATAATACTTTTTATCGATCAAAATATTGAATAAAGATACACTAATGTAGTGTATTTCTTGCTTATCACAATATTTGTAATTTAAGCGCAAATAGATCTCTTTTTAAGATTACAGTAATCTTTGGCGGTTGACTTATCGACGTTAGATATACCATTACGTAAAGATGTAGTAACAGTATATCTAAAATGGGAGAAAGAAAGATAGAGAAAGAGAAGAAAGTGTGCGAAATGTAAATAGTACAAATGACTGCGAAATAAATTACGGCTAAAGGAATAAAAATAAATTTCGCTCGCAGATGAAACTCGATTGGCCTTTGAAATCGAAGAAGCCGACGATGCGAGTATTACGTACTCGGGAGCGAGTGAGGAAAAGACTTTCGTCCGAGGTACGGTCAATTGTAGCGTCGATTAATCCCAAAATGACATGTATACGGAAAAATATTTAAAAAAAAAACAAAATCTTCTAAGCTCTTTCATTCTTAAATACGTATTAAAAATTCCCACGATAAAAGTATACGTCAAGTAATGTATAGATATACATAAATAACATGTTATTTCGATTATTCCTATGAAATTTTATATGATATTGTTACTTTTTCCGTGTGTCGTCTTGCTTGTTTTTGCGCCTTAAAATAATAGGGTGCGTATGCTTGCTTTTCGAACTTAGTGACTTCCTCTTTTTCGATTGGGTTTGCATAGCACTAATACTATACATCGCGTAATTTATTATAACTAGTAATAAGAATACAATAAAGAAAATTATAATAGTTTGAATAAAATATAAATAATTTTTAGGAGATTCAGCTATTGTAAATAAATTTTAAATGAACGAAACGTTGTTTCTTTTAATGCTTTTTTTTATACAATTATTAGATACATTGTAAAGTTTGATCAAAAATACTTGGAATATCATCGTAACTTATTTAATATTTATTTTGCTAAATACTGGACGCTTAAGTAATAGCAAAGTTGAATAGATATAATTAACGTCTCAGATTATGAGAATTGAAGGAAATTGGAATTTTGTAAAATATGATATATCGTGATGCATTTAGAATGGCTTAATAGTCTAGTTGCCTGTGGTAGTATATTACCTTATTTTTTCTAACTATCGTATTTAAACGAGAAAATTTTAACTTTTTCTTACCACTTTTCAAGTCATAAATTATCTAGTTAATAAAAGCTTACATGTATTCGCTCATGCATAAATCATGATATTATGCTTAGAAACTTTAAAAGTTGCAAATTATACTTAACTAATCGCATAAATTTTTATTTACTGATAAAGTTAACACAAAAAGTATCTATATTAAGAAAAATTTGAATTAATAAATTAAAGGCAATAATATAACAGATTTTTTAAATATTATAATATATATAAAATTTTATAACTTTCATAATTTCATAATTTTATATTAATATGCGATTATTTAGTTAATAACATGCGATTATTTAGGTATTATAGATAGTGAAAAGGTAATTGATTCATAAAAATATTATCTTTACTTTATGAAATTTGTTGAATGCGATATTATTCATAATATTTTCTGGTTTAATAACAACATTTATAGTTTGTGATATTGTCTTTTTAGTTGCAGCAGAGAATGACGATGCCATATAAAGATTCTATTTTTCATTCATTTATACATTTTTTTTTCTTTTTATTTAAAGGTATTAAATATAAATGGTACTGCGAGCTTGGGCGAAAACTCAATAGACCAAGACCCATCGCGAAGACCTTGGTACATGAAAGGAGGAACAAGAAGACCTTATCCGGCGATAAGAACTCGCAATACTGGCCGAAGATTGGCTCAATTGTGGCCGGAGGAAGCTGCTTACGATGATCGTGTGACTAATCAGGTAATTCTGGTAATTGCATAAAAATTTACGGATTACAGTTAAAATTTAATTATTATATACATATATTTAATTATCGACATTGCTAATTATAAATTGATTCCTATGAAAATTAGACATATACCTTCGAAAATTTTCTTTATTTATACATGTTTGTACATTAATATTTTGATGTAAACTTAATTTAAAAAAAAAATATTGAAGAGGAATAAATATCAACAAAAATATTATTGCATTAAATTAATTTTATTTTACTTTATTGAATCACAATGCATTCCGATTATTATACATATAGTTACAGTTTCAATTTTTTCAACAAAATACTGAAGAATTTCACATTCTTGAACAAGCAACATAACAATGACAAACCTTAATTTTATTCTATGTAAAATAAGTGTACTAGTAAATGATAAAATAAATTCAATTTACGTCACACATTTATAAAAAAAGTAAGAATTTTGTTGGCTTTAGTTTTTACTGATGTCGGATAATGTACGTTAATAATTTGTTTTAGGATTTTAAGAGAATTAAAAATACAATTATATAAGATAATATTTCACAGTACTTATTAGTTGTTGAGTATAAGTTCTACAAAGCTATATAAATACATATACACAAAAAAGATTTTTTTTGTAATTTAATCAATAACTTTTCTTGACTAAACGATTCTGCGCAGACATAGTATATTAATGTCATAAATAATTTTGCAGCTTATGTTCGTGCCACCTGATTACAACAAAACAGGCAGTGAGCATCATCCATTGAAAAAAATAATGATTCCTCACGGGATGGCCGAAGCCAAAATCGGTCCTGACATATTCTTCCAACAACGCTGCCCGGTGAATACTTGCACGATCGTCCGCGACAATCCGGACGACGCCGATCTCATTCTATTTAAGGATTACATCACGCACGTGGGACGAAGGTCTTACAATCAGGTATCCGATGTAACGCAAGCAATATTAATTTTTGCAACCCGAGAAAAATCAGGTCACCTTTACTCAGCGATTGACTCGCCTTTGAACTTTACTTATACAGTTATATCGCGCACATATAAAAGAGGATTTATTATTAAATATATTATTTATATAATAAAATTATTTATGTAATTTTCAACAGGTGTGGATGCTGTATTTTTTAGAATGTCCTTATCACACGCAAAGCGTAAAGAGCGCTCTTATCAATTGGACTGCCACATATCGGCGCGACAGTGACATAGTGGCACCTTACGAAAGGTGGCAATATTATGATTCGAGTATCACACAGATCCCACAAACATTTAATTATGCAGCAAACAAAACAAAGAAGGTAAAATATTTAGATTAATCTTAAAACTTTAATAAAATTTGAATTGTCTGAGAATTAAAACAATGAATAAAATGTATATTTATATTCTTTGTAAAATAAGTGTAGTAAATAAATAAATTTTTATTATATTTATTTCTATAATTAAAATAAAATAATAGAATTATATATTTTTTAGAAGACAGAAATAGCTTTTATTTACTTTGCACTTTTTAATAAAATACTATTTTTATTTGTTTAATTGTAAAATGAAATTATTTATCTTAACTCGTAATATTGTTAAATTTTTAAAATAACTTTAAATAATACATATTTCATATGAAGTTAATGGCTTTAAAAAATTTTAATTTTAATTAATAATAAAAAAATATGTGCGTATATGCAATAAAAATAATATTTATTTGATAATGAAATAAAATCACCTATTCTTCAATATGATTTATTGTTATATTAATTTACAAGAAATAGAAACGTTACCTTCAGATAGAAATTATATATAAATTAGAAACAGTAAAATTTATATAAAAATTAAATCAAAATGAAGAAATCTTATTAAAAATTATATTTCTTATCAAAATATCAATCAATATTATACTACATTTTTGCAAGTAATTGTAATTTTCAAATTGTTACATTAAAAGATGACATTCGCCTTCTTCTTTACGACATTCGCTGTTTAATTAGGTCGCCTGGTTTGTTTCCAACTGCCATCCCCGAAATCAGCGTATGCATTATGCCAGGGAACTCTCGAAATACATCCAAGTGGACATTTACGGTGCGTGCGGCAGCCTGCGTTGCCCGCGATCGCAGTCGCAAACATGCTTCGACATGCTCGACGAGGACTACAAATTCTACCTCGCGTTCGAGAATTCCAACTGTAAAGACTACATCACGGAGAAGTTCTTTGTTAACGGACTCGGGTACGTGCGATGATATTTATTGCTCTCTTCCTCCTTTCTCTTTTTCACCGTTTTATCCTCTCACTCTCTTATTTAGCGCATACAATTCATACAGAGAGGTGCGGTATTTTAGATGCGAGCAGCGAATATAAGTTGACCTAATACGCTCGATCATTTCACCCAGAGGTCGGCAACCTTTGCCAACTTGTGCGGTATCTTGAATAAGGCGGTTGCATGCCAACTCGCGTTACCTAATCTTCCCTACTCACTTAATGGACAGAAACGCGTGCTACTCGCGTGGTATTAATTATGCTCCCGAACTGGACGCTACCGCCTCAATTCACAAGCGTGAAACACGCGATGTGATACGATGATTCTTTCATGACACAATCACGCGTTTTTCTTCTCTCACGATTGCAATTACCATTTCTTGTATTTTGGAATACTATCACTGCTTGTATTATCTATTTTTCCTTGGATGTGCAGGCACAATGTTTTGCCAATCGT